CTCGGCACAAATTAGAGCTCAGTTAGGACTTCCCAAGTAATTCATACTAAAATCAGTGTCGAGTGAATTTGTTAGTGTTTTGTTATGTCTAATATGATTGATAAAAATTTTATAATTATTTTTAATAATATAAAATATTGATTTTTATTAAAATAAAACATTTATCAATTTGTTGGCGATTAAAAATGTTAATATTTATTTATGATACAGTACATTATTACAGTAGATGTAAAATTATTACCTGTACAGTACATACATTACCGGATTTGTAATATAACAGTAGTTATTGTTTGCTATTGTATTTTATTGTATGGACATTATATAGCAGTAAAGTGAACTGAAAAGGTGTTTCAATACTTGTAAATATACTGATTGGACATTGATTGCAAACTAAAGTCTAGCCTTGTATACTTCTACTAAAACTATAAGTACTGTATGATATAATAATTCAAAAACACATTTTATAAATAAACATCAATTCACTATAAGGTTGAATGCAATAGTTATGGAGCAAAACAAAATTGTTCCTGATGTGATTGACACCATTCCCCAAAACATAATTCAGGTATTTATTAAAATATAATTTTTGAATAAAAAGTCAATTTTAATTAAACTATTTTAATCGAGAGGTTCACTACCCGAGTGGTGTTGACGTGAATATGGGTAATGAATTGACACCCCTTTCCGTCAAAGACGAGCCGACCGTCCAATGGAGTGCAGAGGAAGGGGTCTACTATACCCTCGTTATGGTAGACCCGGACGCCGGACGTAATCCTCAGATTAAGCACTGGCTGGTCGTCAATATCCCGGGCAATGATGTGTCGAAAGGCGAAACACTGGCCAACTATGGGGGCTCTTCACCACCAGTAAAGACTACGCCCAATAGATACATATTCCTGGTATACAAACAACCGGGTCATCTCATTCACTCGGAAACTCCTTTATCAAAGGGCGAGGGCGGAGGGCGCGGGGGTTTCAATATCCGAGAGTTTGCAAAGACATATAATTTGAGTGAACCCTATGCCGGCAACTTTTACCTGGCTAATGGCGATGAATATTCTGTACAAAAACGGATCCAGATGGGACTATCCAAGTAATTCATACACATACAGTATGTGACATACTAAATCCAATTTCTATAATACTAATAATTTAAAATGTTCAAATAAAAGCTCATAATAATTTAAAACTTATGGCAAATTGTTTATTAAAATTTATATTAAAAAAATTTAGCTAACATTTGTTGTCAAACCAGTTTATTGACAAATATCAATTCTTTTAATATAAGGATTTTATTTTTATATTGGATTAAAATAAAGTATATATTATATTAAAATTAAGTGGTTCATTTGTGATAGAAGTAATAAAATACTGTTTATTTATTGTACGATATGTTGTGTAGGTGTATCTTATATAACTGTATTACCATATCAATACATTTACCGGTATTTTAGCAATTGGTTGCTATAGAATTTAAGTTGCAGTATATAATGAGAAAGCATTTATCATACATATAATGATTAGACACTGAATTGCACTCTAGATTTTAGTACTCTTACTATAAATTGTATAAAAACAAGTCATAAAAATACACATTAATTTATTATTAGCCAAACAGTTAACTTACAAAGTCATGGAACAAAACAAAGTTGTTCCTGATGTGATCGACACGATTCCAAAGCATATAATCAAGGTATTTATAAGGAATAGTGAATATAAAAATTGAGAGTAAAATATAATTTTGCAATTTTGATGATAAGGTTCACTATTCGAGTGGAGTTGACGTGAATTTAGGCAATGAATTGACACCACTTTTGGTGAAAGATGAGCCCACAGTGGAGTGGGTGGCAGAGGAGGGCGTCTACTATACTCTGGTGATGACTGATCCGGATGTTGGCGAGCGCTCAGAGATCAAGCACTGGCTGGTCGTCAATATCCCGGGCAGTGATGTGTCGAAAGGCGAGACACTGGCCGCTTATAGGGGTTCTGGACCTCCACTCGAACCTCCACCTCATCGGTACATATTCTTGGTGTACAAACAACCGGGTCATCTCAAACACGAGGAAACTCCTGTTGGGTTTGACTCAGTCGAGGGGCGGATATGCTTTAAGGTCAGGGAGTTTGCAAAGAAATATAATTTGGGTGAACCCTACGCCGGGAACTTATATGTGGCTAAAGGGGACGCCTATTCAGAAGAACGCAGAGCACAGGTATGTCTCGTATTTGAAGTATTGTTTAAATTTTCGTTTTGTTTGTATTTTACAGAGAAGACAACAGCAAAATAAATAATTAATTAAATGATTAGACCTAACGATGAATTTGAATTTTGATTGATATTTGTGTGCAATTGTTATCCGATTTGATAAATGTTGAGCAAATAAAATGAAAAACTTATTTTAAGTATGAAATGTTCAACATTTTAGTACTGTATATATTTAATAAAGAATTTGTTCAATTTGATAATACTTTCAAAATATGAATGCAAACTGTATTTTGAAAACTAAATTTAGAAATACATTTAAATAAGTATTAATATCTGATAATTGAAACCAAATGTGTTTTAAGGCTTTTTTATAGTCTTATTTATCGGAGGCTTCGGTGTACCGGTTGAGGGAGCCTTTCTGAGAGTGGTAGCCGTTGTAATCGGTGGTACGGGTGGTGGGGCCACATTCAACTGTTTCTCATTGATTAGATTAATGGAAAGTAAGACAATGAGAGACAAGTCTAGCATTGAATACGCGATCAAAACCAAGTGATGGAGCGATCGGTTTTGAAACTCTAACTTCACTTCAAAGACACAGAATTGAAGGCATTGTAAGCAATGAGACAAATGTTTGGCACAAATGACTGAATACCTGATTCTGTGATCATAAATAGGACGACATATACGATGATAAGGATGAGCCAAACCCAACAAAATGAGAAGCCGTGCGTCCCGTCGGACGCCTATATAAGCCGCTGGTATGGCCACGAAGTGCTTATATGTGGTGTGATTGAGGGAAAGACATGAAAATTATAGTATTTATTCAACA